ATATATATATATATATATATATATATATAGAGAGAGAGAGAGAGAGAGAGATAGATATGTGGGTGTGTGTGTGTGTATGTGCTATGCATTGAGTCCTAAAGTTCATACACATGGAGACAGTTCTTTTGAAAGCTATTTTAATGTTGTAAATTAATATTTCTTTGATCTATTTCAGGTCAGTGTTGAGTATCTAAAAGACTCAAATATGCTGTTCGTTGGTGGGCTCCTGGTGGCCATAGCAGTGGAGCACTGGAGCCTTCATAAGCGCATTGCTCTGCGAGTTCTTCTTCTTGTTGGTGTTCGTCCAGCCCTGTAAGACAATAATCCTTTTTATCAACTTAATCTGCCACAGGAACACATCTAATAGCCGCATCTCAATAAATAAGAATATCACTAAGATGTTAATATGTTTCGTTAATTTAGTGTACAATGTACAACGTACCTATTCACACTCACACTCATGCTATTTAAACTCTTTCAATCTTCTGTGGGGAGTTGGGTTTTGGATAGCGCCCCCTGGGGATTCTATCATTCTGCTGGGGAACTTCATGCTGGGGACATGTTCCTGGTGCAAGGTAGACTCTATCAGGGCTGACCTCGGTCACCAATCCTGTTCATAACCTTTATGGATGAGAAATAGCTCCTCCAGCTCTGAGGCCATTGTTCTTGACCAGAAAAAGATGCTTTGTCCCCTTCAGGTTAGAGGAGAGCAGTGGAGGAGTTCAAGTATCTTGGGGTTTGTTTCGTGAGTGAGGGCAGAATGGAGAGGGAGATTGATAGACGGCTGCTGATAATGCTGATGCTGCACCGATCTGCTGTGGTAAAGAGAGAGCAGAGTGAAAGGGTAAATCTCACATACGTTCTTACCCTAATGTATTGTCATGAAATCTGAATCATATGACAGAAATAATGAGATCCAGGATACAAGTGGCAGGAATGAGCGTTCTCCACAGGGTGGCTGGGCCCTCCCTCAGAGATAGAGGGTGGAGCTCGGTCATTCAGGAGGGGCTCGGGGTGGAGACGCTTCTCCTCCACATTGAGAGGAGTCTGCTGAGGTGGTGGACTGTTTTTTTTTTCTGATGCCCCTGGATGCCTCCTTCGGATGGTATTTTAGGCACGTGCCCCTGGGAGAAGACCCATGGAACAACCCATGACACAATGGAGGGACTATGTCTCTCAGCTGGCCCGGCAGCACCTCAGGTTTCCCCCTGCAGGGCTGGAGGAGGTGTCTGCAGAGAGGAAGGTCTCGCTCTCTGCAGAGCTGGAGGAGGTGTCTGCAGAGAGGGAAGTCTGGGAGTCTCTGCTGAGACTTGCTAACCTCGCGAACCAGTTCAGAATGAGACGGAAAAGTACGAGTATGAATAAATACCCTGAATTAAATGAATAATTATGAATTAAAATAAATAAAAGTATAATGCTTAATATTTGAGAAAATTAGGTTTTACACAACGCAGATGAAAAAAAAAGATTATAAGTAAAACAAAAATTTTATGTTTTGGCTCAGAGTAGATAATCATGAGGACGACTAGTAACTTGAAAGTTCTGCGCAGAAAGCAAGAAATTGGATGTGCAGCAAGCATATATATAAAGTTTCTTGACGGAGGAAAAAGTGTGGTAAAAAACAACAACAAACCGCTTCACACTCAGCAGCTATACAGTAACTGCTTTAACAAGGCATTGATTTAAACTGGATGACACTCCATGCAATGAGTGTCATGTCTTGCATTAAGAAATAAAAGACTGGATTGTTGCTCTGGGGTTGCAATGTCCCATTCAAGACAAAATTAGATTTTTTATTTGCATACACCGTATAATGTGTTTATAATATAATTGCAAATAAAAAAGGCAACTGGAAAATCAGACTTATGTAGAGGCATATTATATCATGCAGAGCATGGTAATTGTAATCTCACGTTTCTCCCCTTTCTTAGGTTGATGATGGGCTTCATGATTGTGTCAGCCTTTCTGTCCATGTGGATCAGCAACACGGCCACAACAGCCATGATGCTGCCCATTGCTCAAGCTGTGTTGCAGCAGCTTCAGGCAACAGAGGCTCAGGCGGAAGAACGAGAGTTCTCAGCAGAGGATAACCCTGGGTTTGAGTTGGAGACCAGAGAAGTCAAGGAGGAAATCACAGATGAAAAAATGCCAGAGACAAAGTTGCCCTTGGAGAATGGTGTGGGTAGGTGAAATCTTAGCTTTCTCAATAGGTCTATTCTAGAAAAGGAAAAGGATTCTTTTAATATCTTTTTTTGGGGGTTACAGCCGAGCATCAAGTGCCTCCAGAGTCCACGCAGGAGTTGAGGAGAAAAGCCATGGAGGCAAAGTACGAGCTCTTGACTAAAGGGATGAGTCTGAGCGTTTGTTACTCTGCAAGTATCGGAGGAACTGCTACTCTTACGGGAACCACCCCCAACCTCATTCTCAAGGGTCAAATGGACAAGTGAGCCATCAATACAATAGAGGTTCAAAACAACTCATTCTTTTCTCATATTCTTATTACCATTTTTTTTCTTTCAAAGACTCTTCCCTGACAATGGAGATGTGATCAACTTTGCCAGCTGGTTTGGATTTGCCTTCCCCAACATGGTGCTCATGCTGGTGATCTCCTGGCTCTGGCTTCAGTTCTTGTTTCTTGGCTTGAAGTAAGAGAACCAGTAGATGTGTAAGCAGTGTCAAGTATATAATTTGTTTGCTAAACAACAACAACCAAACCATCTATTCTCTCTGTTGTGTTCAAAAGAATGGCTATTAAAAAAAAAAGCCTTTATAAGGATCAGCAGAAAGCAAAGCTTTTATTGATGAGACATCAAACTCATTACAGACAACCCAGCATATCAAAAAGATGAGAATGAGGTTCCACTGAGTTGTAGAATGACAGGGAGAGCAGACAGGACCAAGACAAAAAAATATATATACATATATTAAACCACAAATAGACCTTATCATTTGTGTGATTACAACTTCCCAATCATAACTTTTTTCCCCCATGAGAGCAGTTTAGGGACAAAGTTCCTCTGCTCATTCTCTTTTAAATGTGATCTCCAGAATACTGAGATAAAAGTACGTAGATAGATCAAACAATCTAAAGCTTTAGGTACCGTAAATACTTTGAGTTTTTTTTTTTTTGCACCATCTTCTTCAAAACTGATCAAAAGCAAAGTAAATAAAGAGTAACAGAGACAGAAAATGTAGTAGATATACAATAAATTAAAACATTACAATAAAAAAAACTGATAAAAGCACTGATTGGATGTTCTTACAGTGGCCAAAACCTAAAAATTAAATTATGAAATTATGGCCCATTTACTCAGAGGAATAATTAGATTCATGATGGATCTTTAATGATTTCATATCTTGCTGTAATATTTAGTACTACTTACCACTCGCTTGATCTGAGACTTTCCCTTCAATATTCGCAGTAACAGTCTTAAGGTTCTCCCCTTTGGACTTATTTTTTGAATGTCTTTTTGAGTTTGCAGTTATTCTAAAGTCATTCTGTTTTCTTGATCATTGGTGTCTTTTCTGTTTTGTGTTATTGTAGTTGTTTTCTAGTAAGTAATTTAAGCAGTGTTGTGGAGTTTTTTTGTGTTTCCCCCTTGTGCCAGTCTCCTTTCCCTAGTTTCTAGTTGCTTCTATTCACACCTGCTCCCTGTTAGCTGATTACTCCAGTCTTTGTTCTGTCTCCCATATATACACTTCTGTGCAGTTCCTCAGTACTGGTCTCTTGTTGTCACTTTGCTCCTCATATGTGTTTTCCCTGATGACTCCTTTTTTTTTTTTTTTTTTTTTTTTTTTTTTTTTTTT